ACGACCTCTCACTGTCACTGACCCATCTACTCCGAGGTACGACCTCTCACTGTCACTGACCCATCTACTCTGAGGTATGACCTCTCACTGTCACTGACCCATCTACTCCGAGGTATGACCTCTCACTGTCACTGACCCATCTACTCCGAGGTGTGACCTCTCACTGTCACTGAACCACTGTCAATCAAATACTTACTGATTCATAAATATGGTGAAGCCAGTTTTTACACTCGCAGTCTTCTACTGTAGTAGTATCTTGTCATGATTGATTGAATCAAAGAGAAAAAAACAAAAATGTATTTAGAACTTATTTAAGCCTTTTGATGAGGTGATATCAACTTGCAAAAATGTTTTGACTTAGGAGAACCACATGATGTAGACAAACTGCAAAATACTGGAATTATTTCATTTTTGAATACATGAAGTCATATATTTTTCGAGTGGAATGTTTTAACTTGTGTTTATCTCCTTTGAGGCAGAGTGATGAGAATACATAAATGGACAGAGTGCCACTGTGATCTGTTATCATATTAGGTGGACATTAAAGTACCGTTAAATGGATCATCTGCTATTTTTGTCAGAAATTAACAATCTGAAACACAGATGGCTGGTACCCATTTTAACAACATTTGGTAGACAATAACTTATCAGAGATACCCTGTCAATATTACTCTCCGAAGTTAATATTTCATTCTCAGATTAATGTCACTGTCACCTTCTGTATCAGCTGTAGACAATAACTTATCAGTGATACCCTGTCAATATTACTCTCTGAAGTTAATATTTCATTCTCAGATTAATGTCACTGTCACCTTCTGTATCAGCTGTAGACAATAACCTATCAGAGATACCCTGTCAATGTTACTCTCTGAAGTTAATATTTCATTCTCAGATTAATGTCACTGTCACCTTCTGTATCAGGATGATGGATATTGGATGAAATAGTTTTAGGAAAAATATGATATGTTAACAGATAATGTTTTGATAAAAAAATATTACATAAACAATTTGTCTAATTTTCATAAAGATTAGAAATAGTTTTAATATTTTTTAAAGGTGATCATTCCAACATCATATACAAAAGAAATAAGTGTTTGGTTTATGAAAGATTAATGTTGTTCTGAGATAAAAACAAACATTTTATGTATCAAGTTAACTTTGCTTTCTGTTTTTTCAGATGTTCTCTTCTCTGACACAGATAGACCAAGGTTGGTAGCAAACCTAAAAGATCAAATTTATTATTGAGTTATTTTCGTAATATGTGTTTGCCTGGAATTTCCTCATAATAAATAGAAGCAAATTATTATGGAAATGTAACTTTCTGTTTTCTTCTTCCAATGATGAAGAAATAGAACTTCATGTAGTATGAAATTTCTAATTGTGACCAGTAGTTTATGCTCAGCTGTTCGAATTGAAACTTCAGGGCAGCAGTAAGGGCCCTGGACTCTGAATTCAACAGCAATAATTGATACCAGGTATCTTCGAAGGGTCGATATGAAATATCAATCATGGCCTATGATAGGACTTGGAAAGCAGCCTAGGTGTAGGATAATTTGAAAATTGAATGATAATTGAGTATTTTGTTACAATGAATTTTTTTTTCATAACATTTCTTTCCAAGGTCACATTCCTTTTTGCAATTTAAGTCTGTTTAGTTAAGAAGGAAATGAAACCAATGAAACCAAATGGAACCAGATGGTATTAAAGTAGAATGATACAAATAGAGATTTAGTTATAAATTCTCCTTATGAACTTGATGTGTGGCTTTAAGTTTCTTTAAATCAGTTTATAGCTTGTTAAATATATCTCTTGTACAGCATGTGTAATTTTAGTTTTGTATTTTTTTAGGACAGATGAACAGAAAAAGGAGAGATTTGAGCAGACTTTGGCAGGATGCTTGGACTTCATACCAAGTATGAAGAGGGGTTTTTTTCTCACAAAATCAAGATACTTATACCAAGAGGAAAACTTACACAATGTTTTATTTCTAAAAAGTAGTATTTCCTTCATCAAAAAAGTACCAAGGATGAAATTTTAAAAAGGGAATCCACATATCCAGTCTAACATGCTTCGCTTGTGTATTGTTGGTTCTTATTCGATAATGGGTGTTAATTTGTTTTCAGCAGGTATTTATCGTGGAAAGCTTGTTTTAGGGGAAATAATCAGTTGGATTTGCTTCTGGCACTGTTCATTGAATAACAAGAACATTTTACAGATTATCAGAGTTTTACAATGCGATTCACTAGTCCTGATCTATATGTTGTTGTTGAACTTTCAGAACCCTTTGTATCAGTAGTTGGAAGGTCAAACCACGAGAATGGCACCAAGCTGATCTTGGAGGTTCTCCAGCAACCTAAACTTAATAAACAAGTAAGTTATTACATATGTACAGAAGTCAGCGACTGTCAACAGACAGCATCGTCACACACTGAGGTTTTGGGTCTCACTTATGTGTTTGAACCAAGTATTTCTATGGGACATTTGCAGTTTTTGCAAAAAACTTAACCCTATGTTGTTGGTGATAAGCTACATAACTTGTGTGTCCAGAGTAATGGTGATAGTACCTGTGCATTTGTCACATTGCTGCATATTGTCTTCATATAGCTTTACCTTTAAATATCATCAATCTCTGAAGAGCTTTGAATTTTTTGTGACATCACAAGAAATGAAAAAACGATAGTAGTGATGGAATTTAAAGTTGTTCTTTTATTATTATTTTGCCAGTAAGATATTAGCGTTGTAGCACCTTGACAATGCAACTATCTGTCAAACTGTGGTAGATAACTAAATGATAGCTGTGACAGTGTGAAGATATCCCTTAGTTATAGTATTGACCTACTGGGTGTGAAGATATCCCTTAGTTATGGTATTGACCTACTGGGTGTGAAGATATCCCTTACTTATGGTATTGACCTACTGGGTGTGAGGATATCCCTTACTTATGGTATTGACCTACTAGGTGTGACGATATCCCTTAGTTATGGTATTGACCTACTGGGTGGGAAGATATCCCTTAGTTATGGTATTGATCTACTGGGTGGGAAGATATCCCTTAGTTATGGTATTGATCTACTGGGTGTGAAGATATCCCTTACTTATGGTATTGACCTACTGGGTGCGACGATATCCCTTAGTTATGGTATTGACCTACTGGGTGTGAAGATATCCCCTAGGTATGGTATTGACCTACTGTATGTGAAGATATCCCCTAGGTATGGTATTGACCTACTGGACCAACTGGGTGTGAAGATATACCTTCGTTATGGTATTGACCTACTGGATGTGAAGATATCCCCTAGTTATGATATTGACCTACTGTGTGTGAAGATATCCCCTAGTTATGGTATTGACCTACTGGAACAGCACTTCACATTCACTGCATTCAGACCCAGATTGTTGTTCAGATGCAGATGAAGTAATGGTAGAAATGAGTTGTTTCGGTACGTCTTTTGCTACCAACACAATGCTATTTACTTAATTACATAGAAATTAATGAAGGAGTTATATATATAACCCATTCAATATGGCACTGCCTTCTTGTCAAGCATGATATCATTAAAATATGGCACAAAATATAACCATGTAATTACCGCACTTTCTGTTGCAGTAACAGTTTCATCATTTAAGGTACTTAAACTGTTATAAAGTGAACAGTTAATTATACTCCTCTTGAATACTCACTCATATGGAAGATATACCGATGTTTCTCACTTGTGAAAAATAAATTGGTAATCTGTCATACCTGTGAAAAATAAATCTGGTATTGATTGGGAAACCATAAATATCCTCTATTTGTTGTGACACAATTTTGTTAGTAGTTACCAAATTTTCATCACCAAAAGTTTGAATTCTTGTATTTATTTGTCCTCTCCTATCTTTATTTTTAGCTTTCATATGTGTTCCTGGACATCATTGTTCAAGAATTGTTTCCTGAGCTGAGAGGATGATTGATGTCACTGAGTTATAAGATTAGAAACAATGGTCACTGAACTAAGATTGTAATCCATCGTCACCATGATGATCCATCGTCAATCCATCGTTACTGAGCTCAAATAATGCTCCATCATCAATCCATCGTCACTGAGCTCAAATGATGCTCCATCCTCAATCCATTATCACTAAGCTTTGATGATAATCCATCGTCACCAAGATTTGATGATGCTCCATCGTCAATCCATCGTCACAGCTTATATGATGATNTTATGGTATTGACCTACTAGGTGTGACGATATCCCTTAGTTATGGTGTTGACCTACTGGGTGTGAAGATATCCCTTAGTTATGATATTGATCTACTGGGTGTGAAGATATCCCT